CGGAATTCTCTTTCACAATATTGTGTCTTGCCCAGTGCTCTTCTCACTGCCTGAAAGGAAGCCTCTTCCCCTACCTCTTCATGCTAAAGCCCACTCATCCTTTGAGGCCTAGTCAAATGTGGTGTGCTTCATGAATTAATTAATTAGTTCAATAAAAATTATTAATCGAGCAATTACCATGAGTTAGGCTTTATGCCAGGTGCTAGGAATACTAAGGTGAAAAAAAGAGCCCCTGCTTTTAAGGAGTTCATAGTTCAGAGGGGAGACAGACCTCAAAAGACAACTATCACAGAATGTGTGGTAAGTGCTTCTAATATTGAAATAAACAGGGTGCCAAGAGGGTACCAGAGAGGATGGTCACCTAATGCCTCCTGGGAGAGGTGATGTCTAAGCTCAGTCTTGGAAGATGAATAAGATTAGCATATGAATAGGGGGAAGGTGATTAAGACAGATGGGAAGGGTAATTCAGGCCACAGGAACAGCATTTGCAATGATGCTCTCCAGGCTGCATTCATTTCTCTTTCTGTTATGCTACATGCTCCAGAGTAATTACTTGTTTGTGACTATCTCTCTCTAATTTTCCCACTCCATCCCCAGGACTATGAGACCCCTAAAGTTAGTGTTTATGCTGTACTCATTCTTGTATCCCCAGGATTTCCCACATAACAGAGACTCAATAAATATTTATTAAGTAAAAGAATGTTTGGTTTTCAACTCATATGCAAAAGCAGTAGACCAAAAGGCATTTGTTTCAAGAGTCTTGACATATTTTTTTTTGCTGTTTAAGGGTACTGCTTTAATAACCCCCTACAAAACTATGCCTAAATTCCTGATATTTTAAAGTTTCCAAAAAGGTGACTCCAGTAACATACACGATTAAAAGCTCCTTGAAGATATGGAAAGGATTGGCTCTCGTTCACTGCTGTATCCCTCAGTTCCAATAAGTCATATAGAGTTTCAATTAGTAAAATATTTATTAAATTATTAAATTAATAAATGATTGAATAAATGATTGAATGAGCGAACATAGTTCTTGCTTGTTTTCATGGTCTCTCCCAGAACGACACACTGACATATGCTTTACCATATGGCAACTACTAAATATCTGCCTACAGATTGAGAACTTCTACAGTTCAATGTAATGTTGGACTGATGGCAAGCCAGGGCTTGTACTGCATAAACCAGAAAGCCTACTCCCAAAAATTTAGGAGCAAAATATACATTAAACCAACATTTGTGCTTTTTCAAAAAAAGTAAATCCTTTCAGCTCAGTGGAGTAGTTATATAGAAACATGACCCAAACAATCTCTGGCCCTTCTACTCTATTTCCAGATACTTTGATTAAGTAGAAATTTGTTTGTATCAGATTTAGTAATAAATGACAACAATGAAACACACTATTATTTGGCAAATATGGCTATCATTTGTTGCAAACAAAATATAGGATAAAAAGGCCGAGTTGGAAAATACTGTCAATTCTTTTCTAAACGTGAAGGAGGGCAGAGGGGCTACTTTCTGAAAACCACATGAAAATAACATTTTATAAACAGGACTTCTTTTAGGCCTACTAGACAGAATGATCTCTTACATGAAAAGACTCAGATCCCAAGATGCATAACTAATATGCTACCTTTTTGCCACCATACCCACAGTACATTAATTTCATTTAAAATGCACTGACCATACAGGATAAATTGATTTCACTTTATATGGGCTTGACAGCCATGTTTATTGTGCAGTGAAATGTAGTGTAGCTTCCAGCTGACAATATCCATCAACACAGGGCAATATGCTGACTGCTGGGCCAGATGAAGGCATACATTACTCTGGAAGTGAAACACTCATTCAGATATGACAGTGTCTTCTCCTGAGGATCACCATGGTAATTTATGATGCCCTCAGTGCCATTACTTTACAACTGACATGGATTCAGCAATTTATATACTTGCATGCATACACATAAAAGGAGACAGGCTTGTGGAGAATGTGAGAGGCAAAAACATTTCAATATTAGTCTAAGTTAACTACTATGCTACAGGTGATTAACATCTGAGATCTGCTTTTACTTACTTTCCACTTCTAGCAAAACCATATAGTCAGCTTCCTTTTATTTATTCATTTAAAAGAAGTATTTTCACTGTGAATGAGATATTTTAACCTCCTGTGGACTGATAGAGATTATGGTGGATTTTTAAATTCTGGTTTTAATAGATCTTCTACTGTATACCAATTGATTCTCTTAGATAAGTCACATATATGCTCAATCTCTCTCTCATTCCTTTCCACAGTCTTAGCATATCCTCTCCACTTTCTTGTATCTTACTAAATTTAACCTTTTCCAAGAAAGAGAGCTCAGGTCCTACCCCAGTAAGTGCCTTACACTGACCTTGTTCCTTCCTCCCATAATACATATTGTCTACATGATATTGACACTGAATTAATTACACAGCAGATTTCACAAGGACTCACAAGGAATGCTCTCAGAAATTAAGAAATTCAAGCATAGTACATAGTATAAAAATTCAAATTAAGAAAGGGAAAACAGAATATTTTCCAGGTCATGCACACATTTCCTTTTTCTTTCCTCCTCTTCTCTCTTCGTGGGGATCAACTGAAAAAAGAATAATGACATCCTAAGCAAAATTAAGAATGTTATGTCAGTGAAACAAGATTTGGAGAGAAGAGACTTATCCAGAGTTTGAAAATACTTTTTAACAAGACCCGATATCTAATCAGAGTCAGAATTTTAAGAAAGTATTGAGGCCACAAGGTCAAAAAAAAAATATTTAGAAAGTATCCTTTAATGTCCCTGAGCTTTGCTTCATGAAACAAAATGGTTAGGGAATTATCGTTGCACAGTAGAAATATATATGACTGGATATGTGTGTTTAAATTCAGAAATTTTAAAACGGAGATTGTATATTATGAAAGTTCTTTTAGACAGATAAAGAACAATCTATAGAATACATTTTCAAAAGGTATGCTATTAGTTTGAATATCTGAAGCCTAAAATCTACTTTCTGTTCTAATTAACTTTAAAATCTACATATCAAGTGTGACTTTGCACTGCTTCATTCGTTTTCAAAATAGCATCAAGTTAAAAAAAAGCTACTTTATCCTAAAATAGCCAATGCTCTATATCAGAATACAGAATCATCCTAGGGCATGTCTCACAAACATATGAGGCAGCTTCTTTTACTTTTAAAAGCAGAGGAATCATTTGTGAGTTCACCATTCATGATATGTCTTCTCATGGAAAGCAGTTGGAAGAAGCCTAGAACCACAACTATGTACCTGGAGACTATTGCTTTCCAGCTGACCTAAGAGTCTTTAATTATCAGCAAAAGCATTCTTAAATGACAGAGAGTTACTGAAAGGCCAGGAGTCAACAGCACCACATTAGGTATCAAAGGAAAGTACTATTTTCCTGTACTCCAAGAATTCCTGCTTTCTCCAACTTCCCCGAAGTGTCTTGAATTAATTAACTCATCCTTCATCTTCCATATCATAGTTTGTGTAAAGGCAAACTTTCAGTTCGATAAAGAGATATTTATGGGAAGAAAACAGAAATTGCAAAGGCAAAGACCTCCTTAGGAATCTGTGGTTTAAATGATTTAAAGAGAAGGGAGAAAGTTGAGTTTTTCCAGGTGGGTTGGAAAGAAGTCCAGTTTAACCATCAGAGCCTATGGCAATGATCCTAAACTAATCCTAGAGAGGCCCCCTTCCTGGATAAATTCCAAGAATTATGTGAGTGAATGAGTAAGTGTTTAGTGTATGTTTTTGTATACATAAAGTTCTCACTAAGCAGGAACTTTGGCTAATTCTATAATGTGCCTAGTAATCATTTACCTATGCATTAATTTGGCAAACACTTCTGACAAATTTTACATGAAAAAAAAAATGTTCTAGAAGAGGTCAAAATGGAAACAAAATGAGAAAATTACTACTAAATAGTCTCAATGATTATTAGTGAATTGATAATAAAGAATAGAGAAAAACAAAGTGAATAAGTATCTCCTCACAGGCCCATTAAAACTTAAATTTTGTCAGACAAAATGTGACATATGCAAAATGTTGGCACAAAAGAATCTCTTCTGGGATCTAGTTCTGGCAATGGCATAATAGCTTATATCAGACTATTATTATTTGCTCAATAATTATATAAACTCTGGAAAAAATATGAAAAAACAACCATTTGAAGTCACTTGAGATCTACCAAAATTAAGATGAAACTAGAAAGGATTCGATTCTAAAAAGAAAGGAATTTCACTGAGTGAGATCCCCGTTTTCATACCTTTCCATGAAGACACTCCCTAGTCTACAGAGTATCTTCTGACACATTAACCTAATTAAGCCTGACTTTCTGTTTGCATTCTAGCCACTCCACAAGTTCAACCAGATCAGCAAGTGATTTAACTGCCTCCTAGCACAAAAATTAACATTCTTTTTTTTTAATTAACATTCTTAATAGAGGACAATAATAGAAGCCAAAGTTTCTATAATTTACAACCCACAATGCATAATACATAATAAAAAATTATTAGTTGTTCAAACAACCAAGTAATGTGACACAGAAATCCAAAAAAAAAAAAAA